AGTCACACAACTCTGTATGCAAATTTCTGAAAACCTTGCATGTTTGAAAAACCCAAAAGGTTGTTTGACAACACAGAGTCAGTTGCACACAAAAAAAGATGTTCTGAAGTTGTGACTGTACAGTTTATCATAATACTGTCCGCTGGAAATGACATAATGTCCTCCCTCACATGCAGAATGGGAACATAAATAAAACATTGGAAAGAAACGTCAATGTAACTAAAAATAACGTGGTTCACATTGTACAAATTGAGCATCTGATGCTTTGCTCTGGGATTCAAATGCAATGGTAAACCCAAGAAGCGCAAATTGGGGGGCTATACTCTGAGTCGGCTCTCAGTGGAAAGGAACGGAAAATAGGTCGCCTTGTTACATCATCAGCCAATCATGAGGTCCTTAAACTGTATAATATGAAGAAAGATGACACCCCATGTTTAGCATGTGTAGCAAACATCCACACAAACAGAAGTGGACAATGAGAAAGCAATCGGTTGCTTCCATCCCCTCTGTTCCTCTGCATACCTGCGGCAGAATACACGTCTCTGTGGCGACTATAGCGCAGACAGAACGGGTAGCAACAGCGTGTCATCCTGCCGACGCGTCTCACTCCGGATGCCAGAGCATCTCCCATCATCACCGGCGTCCGACAGCGGTCTCCTAACCACCACGACCCGGACAAACTAACGAGGGGAACGCAACAACTAGAATGTGCGGACCATCTCCCACCTGAACCCCCCCAACTAACGGGTTATGTGGGAGATGTTTTCCAAATCGGAAGCGTGTGTCCTACCTGTTTTCTGCTGTTCCAGGCGGGAGAGGAGGAGGAGGAGCAGGCGCAGCAGGATGAAGACAGATGCCGCATTTAGAAGATCAGGAGATAGCGGAAAGGGCGCTGTATATATAGCAGGGACGTAGTGGTGCGCCCTCGTTCAGTCAGGACGCAGATCCCGACACTTTGCGCTCTGTTACTGGTGGCGCACAGCTTCTCCTACATGCGGGTGAAGGGCACAATTGTTGCGCAACATTATCAATTGAATCCTATTTTTTTTAAGTTAAATTAGTGGCTTTTCATGTTAGACTAAAGTTATCGTTTTCATAATATTGTCCTGTGGAGATGCTGTTTGCCTTGAATATTTACATGCTTTTTAATGACAGCCATGATGGTAAACAAATAAAAGCCCCCTTACCGGCGGTTTGTGCGTTATGTAAGCCCTCGTTCCAACATTTGAACCTTTGTTGTGATTAGCTTGACTGACGGCATGTCAAATCATCGTGCGTTTAAGATGTAAGCTGTTAATGCTATAGCTTGCTAGCATCCGCTTTTCTCAACAATAAACTTCAAGCCAAACAACACTTACGGCAAGTTTGGAGGAGTGACCTCTGCAGCATGTGAAGCAGCATTAAGACCTTTGTGTTGGGGGGAAAAATGCAGAAAACATAAAAAAAAACTTAACTGAAAAAAATATATTATGGAAAATCCAAATATCCAAGAGCATATGCTGTGCATCGGATGACTCATAACCTCAGTAGTTTAAATAATCCAAGCTAGCTAGATATAGTGACAGTTTACTCTATTTTATTTTTTACTTTTTTTTTTCTTATATAAGGTTGCTTTGATTTCGTTTTTTACAATTGTTACCGAAATGTGTAAATTTTCCGATGGATAAAGTATGGAACAGCTGCACAGTGTCTCAATAACCTAAAACGTTCAGTACCTTTGACATTACAGAGTGCACGTTATTCTTCTTATATTGGCCTGCCCAATTAATCGGTCAGCCTCCAACGTGTATAAGAAAAGCTCAAAGGTATAGGTCATTTTTTAATTTATGAAATCATGGTAACATGTGGCACAGAGGTCACATCATGTGGGTCCCTGCTCATAAAGATAAAATACTTAAAGTCAATATTGAACTTTCAAAAAGACAAAAGGAATAGGGTACAGTGCACTTTGTAAGGAAATACACCAAGACATCTGAGCTTGAGTGTTTTTTCCCTCCACTGCATCTTTCCTTTGAATTGAAATATAAATGTTTTGTAAATTCAAGATGCCACAAATGGCTATACTTGCATGACATTGGGTAGCAGGTTAATTCCTTTGAGACCACAGATCTTCAACAGCCAAAAATAACAAAACACCTAATTCTTTCCCCCCACCCTCTCACCTATTGTGCTTCCTTGTTTGAGGTTGTATTTACTGCTGTCATTCTGCAGTGGGCAACACGCAGAGCGCTGAAAACTGATTTACTGGCAGAGATTTCGATTTTTTTTCCATTACGCAGCAGCACACGTGTGTTGCCAGGGTGGGTTGGCTGGAAACAGTTCTTATTGGCATTTGTATTCTTGAAAGCACACCTGTCTTTATCCTGCACTGTGGCAAAACTTTTGTTCTTTGCCAACTGTCACTGCAGCACACTGTAATTAGTTGTGTTGTGCATTATTAGAGTTAGTTGACAGGGGTCATGTTCACTTCACCCATGCTGCATTCTGTGAAGTCTCTCAGCAGATGGGTCGCTGACCTGCTCTCTTACCCAGGCCGAAGTGTGCAGAGGCACAAATGGAGCAGCAGGAGCAGATGGGAGCGAGACGGATGAGAGGAGGATGAGACAAGAGACTGTGTGCTTAATATTTAACCAGTGAAGCAGCATGCTGCTCCGCCCAGAAGGGGGGAGGATAAAATCATCACAGTGAAGTGACACTGATGAAAGAGATGGTGGAATTCACATGTGGAAAGTAAAGTACTCTACGATACTACCCACATTATGAAGTGGCACCTCAAGTGCTGGAGAGACTTCACACTTTTAATCCACAATGTTTCCAATGAAAATACTGTACTTGGTTCAAAATTCCCCCCGAAGTTTCCCAAATACCAGAGCCTCATGCTGGTTTATACCGTGATACTGTAGGTATTCCTTTCATATTTCTGGATGTATAAGGTCATTGTTGACAATGTTGCAAATCATTGAGCAGGACTTCACTGTGGAAATAGAATTTTGATATGATTTTTGCATCAATGTGCTAAAGTCCTTTTATTTGGCAGTTATTGGAATCACTCGATCAACCAACAACAGACTTTCTGTCTGGCTATTTTCTAAGTAAACACTTGCTTAATCGTTTTTAAAAGTAACATAATTGTATTACAATAAGTGTCAATACTTTGATATAAAACCATGTACAGTATGCCGCGTTAAGGCACTTTATAACTATCATCCAGCTGTGAGAAGAACACGCTGCGTTAGCACTCTTTTTCGACCACTTTTTTTTACACCAGAGTACATTTTACTGCCAATACTTTTTACCTTAATTTGAGTAAATTTTATGTATTGTATTGACTCAGGTCAAGGACTCTCAAGGACTGAAGTACTTTTTCTTTCAAATTTATGTTGTCTACTTTGGGTAAAATATCACTGTGAATGCACTAATAAAATAGCCACAGATGAGCTGGTGTATTCATGGTTCACTGTTTTTTGGGTTAGGGTTAAGAAACCGAGCAGTTCAATATACTGTGCTGGTGCTAATGGTGCAGCAGCCTGCAGCAAGCAAATGTTTATGAATATTATGTGGATAATATAAGATCCATTGTGTATCTATGCATTTAATTTGAATGCAAATTAGCAGCACATTTTAAGTATGGTGAAAAGAGGTTGTGCAGCAGCGCCTCCAATTGAGTTACCTCAACTGTCAACAGGCAGATCTCCCTCCTGACCCCTTCATTAACACACGCGCACACACACACACACACACACACACACACACACGCTGCAGACCAGTGGGAACCTGGTTTCACAGACACAGATTACCATGCTTGTGGACGTCAGCACCCGATAAACATCCCCTGGAAATTTAAGTCGGCCTATTGCTATGTTTAATCCTTAACAGTCAAACCTCAATGTCACCCATGCTAGTAGAGAATGATGTTATATTCATGACAACATGAATCTAGTGACATTATTAACTGTACTTTTTAAAGCCACACCTCTGTATTCTTGTCTACAGTCAAAAGATTTGTAGACAGTTTTGAAGATATAAGTGAATACCTCGCTAGAATTTAAAAGTAGGACTAAGGCATCTTTTAAAAATGGAGCTTGTTAGATGATGAATTCCTCTTTCCATGGCTAGTTACTGACTCAAAACATATGAGACGGTAGCTTGTCATCCCTTAAACCTGAAACTAGACAGCAGCATGTATGATTAGGACACTGTTAGTTGACATGAAGAATCCTCACGTCACATATAATAAGATAGCAACCATGAAAACAATTCTCAAAAATGCCTTTAGTTAGAGAAAATGGTACCGTCACGTGGTAGTATGTTTTTATTTCACTTCTTCGGTGATGGACTAACTGATTTTGTCAGAAAACTATAACAAATACAAAAACTAGATATAGTACATCCTTCTACAGACAAGTGGCCTCATTTGTACCAGTAAACCACAACTCGTCTTCTGATAACAGCTTCTTCATCAACATTAATTTTGAGAAAGCAAGTCTCAATTCTTTAAAAAAAATTAAAAAACAGGGCGTCACCTCTCCTGTACTGCACACGTTTTCTTAAAGGAATAGTTTGACACATTAGGAAAAACGCTCACTTTGTAGCCAAGAGCAAGAGGAGAAGATGAATACCTCTCTGTGGATTTGATTATCTTTGTACAGAGCCAGGCTAACCGTTTGCTAAGCTAACCGTTTGCTAGCTACAGAGGTCTAATAAATGGACAGACGTGAGAGTGGCATCAATCTTCTTATCTAACTCTCGGCAACAAGGCGAATAATTGTACTTAACCAATTTTGTAAAACTATTCCTTTTCATTATATTTTATTGCTGCCGAAGCCATTTTTAATCCCCTTTGTTAGACTTGTTCTCTAACCTTGCACTCAGTGAAAGTACCAGGAAAACAAAGGCAAACTAAATGTTCCACATCTGCAGCTAAGTCACGGACATGATGCGTCTCTTCTTGTCATTCAGAGGTTTTAGTGAGCAGAAGAAAAAAAAAAAAAAAAAGAATGTCGATTCACCTTTGATTTATTCCATTTGTCACTTAAAATAGTACATTATCCATTTGTTGCTCTTTTTAATAGAGAACTCTTTTGTCCTTGAGGTACAGCAGCAGCCCGAAAATCCATTTCACCTTTTAAATGCCTTTACAATTGTCAGAGGATTCCCAATGCAATGAGCAGCAGGTTTATCTGTTCAATTCTAAATCATGTGTAAGCACAACCGGACAAATTGTTTCCCCAATGATGAGCCAGAGCAATGATTATTCTGGACAAAGCTCACCTCAAATAAGCCTTGAACAGAAGTAGCTTGCATCATTTTTTAACATAAGCATAATAAAGACAAAAACATACATGGGTTTACAGCTAGACAGTTTAGACAGTTCTGTGAAGTCCAAGAAGAAATATTGAAACATGACTGAAAAGAATTCTGCAGTAAAAAACAAGACATTGGCATTTCTTCCTGGGTAGTTTGATGTCAGGTTTTCCTTCTATCACACTTACACATCTATCCAGCGAGTCTATTAAGCTGTTATGTATAAACAATCGTTCTGTTTTTTAAGTGCATCCACTTTCTAGTGTAAAAATGATGATAGTGCATCTCTCCTCTGTCTAGAATAATAAAACCCAGCAACACGCTGTTCTGTCTTAGAAACTGTCACCAGGCCGTACAAGGGAAGTCTCGGCTAAATACGATGATGAGTTAGAGCTATCATCACATCTTGAAATGCATTGAAACAAATCAAAATATCAAGACACTCATTTCGTGCCTTAAGTTGTCTTAAGACATTTCAAGACGTGGCTGATTGTGACTCAATGAATTAAAACGTGTGAACTTGACAGACAAACTTGCTCTGCATCAGGATTTCAGAAAAAAATGTCAAACACCAACAGGACTATTTGTGGAATTTAACTGGTAAAAAACCTCATTCAGGGAACCTGTGAGTCATCTGAGACAAATGTTCCTAAAGATGGCTCCTCTGGATTTAGGCCTCGGCAGATGTTGGAAGAACTCGCACAAACAGGGTTTTGGTGTCTAGAGATTTTACCGATGAATCAGCTGGCAGCTCTGAAAAACAAAAACAAACAGTTACAAAGTATGTTTATTTCTATCTAGTCAGCTAAAATTAGGTTGTGGAAAAACATTTAAGCAATCACAACAGATCAGAGTTTTCAAAAAAAAAAAAAACTGCAAAGATCTCAAGCTGCTCACATTGGGAGGTTAGGTTAGTTTATTTAAATGAGATAATTGAAAAAACTCTGGAAAACCACGAAGGAATGTGCTGTAAAGTTTCCATCCATAATACAGAACTTTATCACACCGTGCCATTATATCATAGCCACTTCACTTCCTCTCAGTGACCCGTTACATGATGAAGGTAAAAACCATCAATCAGATGTTCCTCTCGCTGTATTATTGGCCCTACATCAGTTTAAAAGTCTTCAAAGTGGACGCTATAGTCAAAATGGTATCCGCCATCTTTTCATCTTACCCTGGGTGAGGTCCTGGTCCAGGTAGAGTTTAAGCAGTCTGCTGCGGAGCCCGAACACCTTGGCAGCCTCAGACAGGAGGCCTGAGTAGTGGAGCGCATTCTGACCCACTGGATTCACCAGCAGGAGGGTGCCCACCTCTCCGGTCTGGCATTCTGGGGGAGATAGGAAGAGTGTTGAAGAGAAGTAAACCAGACGGACTTCCTGTCCTTTACAAATCAAGACCAGATTGGCTTGAAGTCCTGTAAAGGTAACAAGCCTGAGCCAAAGCCACGGGACAAACAAGAGAGAGAGAGAGGAGGAATGATAGATCAACAAGAGACAGACTGATCAATAGGTAGATGGAGGGTCAGAGGGGCGAGGGGGAAGTGTTTGAGTGCGAATTACTTTAAGCATAAGATGGATTATGGTACACTTTCTTCAGTAAAGTGAACAGAGTACAACACACAATGAGTGTGTATAAAATAAACAAAAGAACAAAGCACAGTTTCTATTTACTGTACAGATTATGAGTTTATACACAAAACGTATAATTAACATATCAAATATGATGTATTAGTATAGTTTAAAATACCAGACAGTATAGAAAGTAGTTAAAGGAATGGTTGGACATTCTGGGAAAAACATGCATTTGCTTTCCTGTTTGTCTGGTAAATATGAAGCTACAGCCAGAGGCTGGTTAGCTTAGCTAAGTAGAAAGACAGAAAACAGCTCTGCTCACAAGGAAAGATGGTCTGCCTACCAGCACCCTTCTAACGCTCATTTATCAACTTGCTTAATCTAATTTTTTATTTATTTATTTTTTTTAAACAACCCAAAAAAAACAAAGCGTTACAACAACAATTGCGGTTTAATGGGGGATTATGTGTTGGACACTTTCTTTTCAGAAATAGCCAGGCTAAAATTGTCAGCAGGCTAAATTCATTGTTGGTTTTGTTCTGCCCAGGGGATCGGTTGATTATAATTAAAAAGATGAATAGCAGCCTTTTAAACAGTGAGAAGGACTGATTTCAGTTGTGCATGGGTATATGTACAGTATGTGTGTGGTTGTGTGTGTGAGTGTGTTTTTCTCACCAGCTGGCTGTGCGTTGCAGAGCAGCAGGTTAACGTAAGGACATAGAAGGGTGTCGGTGCTGGGGACTTGGCCAGGGGAGGAAGAGCCTGAAGTCACTGACAATGTTTTACCGCTCAAAGCCTGAAGGTCCATTTTACTGGTCAACTCTGCAATGAACACACAAATGCACACCATCAGTTGGAAGAAGCTAGAAACGTTTATATTTGATTTCCTTGTCATAATGCCAAACAAACTAAACTGAAAAAAAGTAGCATTAGATAGCTAACTATGGTTAGCTCGCAGGCTAAATGCTTTACCTACTGATACAGAAGTTTGTACAGTGATGCTTCACCAGCATCCAGTACAGTGTCTGGTGGGTCAATAGCACCTGCACTAGATGGTGTAGTTTGATGACAAAAGTTAGCTACAGCTATGTAGCCCGCTGACAAGGCAGGTGCTCAGTGTGTGTTCTCAGTTAAGCTAGCTAGCCACACATTTTAGTTAAACGCACACACGCACATGTATGTGCACTTCCATAATAATATCATATAGGTATTAGGAAAATTATAAATATTGTGTGGGAGTAATAGGAGATGGCAGATGTTTCAACCATAACAGCGATTCGCTGCATTTATATCTTTCTAAGGGTCCAAAACCAGTTCTCACCAGTCCCGCCGTTGAAGAACCTGAGTTGGGCGTTGTTGGTTCCAAAGATGCTGCTGCACACTTTCTTCAGCTTGTCCAAGTCTAGTCTGTTATCGCCTTTCGGGTTCTCCAACAGCACCACCCCCTCTGAACAAGGAACGAGTCAGCCAGGATTACAGGATTATTGACATAGCTAAACAGTTTACAGAGTGAAATGCTAAATAACCAAGGCTGGAGCAACTTCTATCGACAGTTCAACTGTTGCACATTTTCTTGTTAAATCTTTTCTGGCTGGAAGAACAGACTTGCTTTTTGGCCTTCCAATGTGCTACCTTGTTCTGTGTTGTTGACCTTCACCCTGACGTTCACATAGGTGCAAGCTGGTCCATTTAAAAGAGCCCGAGGGGCTGAAGACCCCTTTACTATGGTTAACTCCAGATCTGAGCCCTTCAGCTGAAAGAAGGGAAAACAAGAGCATGACAAAGACATACTGACTTTTTGTGTTCTTTAAACTAAAAATCTAATTATGACTTATAACACAAATACATTCAGACAATGGTGATATGGGAATCACTAAGCAGAACATTTTTTTTTAACAATATTCCTGCTTGCCCTGAGGTGTCATTTCATACCCGAGTCTTTTCCTCTATGATGACGCTGGCAGTCTTGGGGATGGGGAAGGGCAGCAGTGGAGCCTTGGTGGTAGCCAGGATGAAGTCAGTGTGAGCCTGGATCACAGAGCCCAAGTACTGCCCCTCTGGCTGGCAGCGGTAGTACACAGCTATCTCATCTGATGGCACCAAATGGCCCTGTGAGACAAGGTGGTTGAGTGACAGATAGTGGGTTTTAATATGTAAACGAATACCAAGTACAGTATCATTCAGAAAATAAGTAAGGATGTTTGTTTGAGCAAAAGAGCTGAAAGACAACAGGAACCATTAGTGAGTGAATATGTACTGCTTGAATAACTCTTCAAACAATGATGCAGAATAATAGAAAAATCAGTTATCTGATTTTAAAAAATGATTGCAGAGGACGCAAAGAATCCCAATTTTATGACAAGTAATTCTCTTCAAAGCTTTTTTCTCTTCTATAAGAAAATAAAATCTGTAAGAAACAATTACATAAAGAAGGAAGTAACACAATGAAAAGGCAGCCAAAAGAAGAGAAGGAGGAGATTAAAAACAAAGCAAAAAACAGACAGTGTAGGACCAAATAAAGGGAGGGGGAACAAGGGGAGCTTTTTCATTGGATGAAAGCCTGTCTATTTTGTCATTGTGTGCCGACAGCTTCCTCTAACCTTGACACATTCAAACACATTGATCTCATTCTAATCTTCAGTGTGCAGCCCCTGCACATGTGTGCACAGCCCTACACACATACATTGACTGTATAGTACACACACAAACGCACGTTGCAGTATGTGGCTCAAGGGCAGAGGAATAACGTTAGCTAGATACAGAGAAGCAGTCAATCAATGGAGGAAGGTTTATAGGCTTTTCCTGCCAAGTCAAGGTACTGACCCTACCCTGAAGGGGTTAGTACAGTGTTTGAGAGTGTATGTGTGTGTCAAGTCACAGAACTACAGCTATCTCCAGTTCTCCAGTCAAGTCCAACAACGAAAAGGAAACGCTGACCTCCATTTCTCAACCCTGCATATGTTAACACACAAATACCCACACAAAACACTGATTAAGACACACATGCACAACCACAAACTACAACCAAACATGTCAAAGAATTGCTCAAAATTAATTCCCATCGCAGGGGTGGAAAATTCTTAACAGATCTCAGTTTGAAATAACTGGAGGAATTTAGCCTGGCCGGGAGCCAGAGCACACCACTGCTATAGGGGGACGGAAAAAACAGTTTGTTGCTTGTGAAAACAAGAGGTTGTTGGCTAATCCGTCTTTACTCCCCAGACCACTTCAAAGCTCCAACATTAGAATCTGAAAGGGGCCAGACTGTAATTAAGCTTCCATTAAGCCTGCCTTATGATGGAGAAACTTCTAACTGTGACGCTGCAGTGGAAAGATTTGAAAACTGCCCTGACAGAATTAGCATGGGACATAAAGAGGAAAGGGGTAGCACGGGGTGATCAGGAGGGAAATGTAACAAAATGATACAGCACATTTCTTTATGCTTGGTCTACATTGTGAGGCTGGAACCACCGATAACTTTCATTACAATCAATTCATAGTTTATAAAATGTCAGAAAAGAGTGACAAACGTCCACCGCAGCGGCTTGCTTAGTTGTCTTGCGACGTATTATTATTATTATGTATTTTGTCTTCCAGTAACCACCACCTCAGTGGCATGTTTTGCTCACCCTGGCACAGCCCAGATTACATGTGTTGGCAAACTGTTTCTAATATGTTGTATTCTATTCATTAGACACTGGATTGTAAAATTCACTAGTAGTGTGTTATGTGTCACTCTGGTTTCCATAGCTAGTAGTGCTCCTGAAATAAGTGTCCCACCTTCTTGCGTAGTTTCTGAATGCGGTTGATGACCTCTCGGGCAACGCCTTCATCCATCATGGACTGGTCCGGGGTGACATCCAACAGCACAAGAACCTGGAGGACAGCAGACCCAGAGGACAACAGGAGGGCTTTTAAACTACATATTTACAGAACTGATGTTACCAAAAGACACCTGTATCAGTATCGGCTCAATTCAACAACAAAAAACAACAATAAGTGTGGGCAAACCAGACTCATTCAATATGTATTTGAGCACAAATATAAAGCTTTCTTTCAGATATTAAGTTTCAATATTTGGGCAAAGAGAAATACAGAATTCTGAGGTACGTATATTGTAAGAAAACAAATGTTTAATTTATACATTTCTATTATTATTTTTTTATCAATCAACTAAGTATCTACTTTAGCCAGTTGTAGGTTAGCACCCTAAACAAAGCTTGTTGACTCCCTTGCCGAGGTGATGTAGTTAAGGCATGAATTAAATGTTTTCATGTTACCATAACAACAAACAGTGAGCTCCTACAAAATGAATGCTGACAGGTTGTACTCTCATCATGTACACCCCACAATTACTGCAATGTCCATCTGACAGAGTAGTAGAAGAGTGTGACATCATTTCACTTGAAATGAAGATCTTGGACTTCCACTCAGTGACCAGACTCCTTCAGCCATGCGCTAACAACTATACAGCTGACAAGGCAGCGAGCAACCTTCATGTAATAAATCTGCCTTACACTGTTGTTCAAACATTTATAATGTAAAAGTAATAAAAAACAACAACCACCCACGCAGCAATAATGACAATATTGAGTGTCTGTTGTGCTGCTGCTGCGAGCCCCGAACACTTCACCATGGGAAGAAAAAAAAGGATTACAGAGTGACTGAGAAAAGTCCACAAAAGCAAACAGAGAAAGAATATGAGAGAGAAAGAACAGAGAAACAGACAGATGGGAGCTGGAGAGTCAGTGCGAGCGAGCGAGTGTAACAGAGAGAACTAAAAAGCCAGCTCAGTAAACTGGTATGAAGGTGCAGCCGTGTGGTGTGTGCACGGTTGGAGGAGCACTGATTAGAGAGGGCCTGTGGGAAACGCATACATGCCGCTTTCCACTTAGCCGTGAAATGATTTCATACATCACACTCACAGTGAGGACGAATAAATGCATTTACAGTATATGGCGGCTTGGTGCAGGAGCAGTCGTGGAAAGGCATATAGATATATACAGTTGTGTGAAAAAGTGTTTGCCCCCTTCCTGATTTCTTATCTTTTTGCATGTTTGTCACACTTAAATGTTTCAGATCATCAAACAAATTTAAATATTAGACAAAGATAAGACAAGTAAACACAAAATGCAGTTTTTAAATGAAGGTTTTTATTATTAAGGGGGAAAAAAAATCCAAACCTACATGGCCCTGTGTGAAAAAGTGATTGCCCCCTAAACCTAATAACTGGTTGGGCCACCCTTAGCAGCAACAACTGCAATCAAGCATTTGCGATAACTGGCAATGAGTCTTTTACAGAGCTGTAGAGGAATTTTGGCCCACTCATCTTTGCAGAATTGTTGTAATTCAGCCACATTGGAGGGTTTTCGAGCATGAACCGCCTTTTTAAGGTCATGCCACAGCATCTCAATCGGATTCTGGTCGGGACTTTGACTAGGCCACTCCAAAGTCTTCATTTTGTTTTTCTTAAGCCATTCAGAGTGGACTTGCTGGTGTGTTTTGGATCATTGTCCTGCTGCAGAACCCAAGTGCGCTTCAGTTTGAGGTCACGAACAGATGGCCGGACATTCTCCTCCAGGATTTTTTGGTAGACAGCAGAATTCATGGTTCCATTTACCACAGCAAGTCTTCCAGGTCCTGAAGCAGCAAAACAGCCCCAGACCATCACACTACCACCACCATATTTTACTGTTGGTATGATGTTCCTTTTCTGAAATGCCGTGTTACTTTTACGCCAGAGTATTTTCCCAAAAGTCTTGGGGATCATTAAGATGTTTTCTGGCAAAACTGAGACGAGCCTTTATGTTCTTTTTGCTCAGCACTGGTTTTCGTCTTGGAACTCTGCCATGCAGGCCATTTTTGCCCAGTCTCTTTCTTATGGTGGAGTCATGAGCACTGACCTTGATTGAGGCAAGTGAGGCCTGCAGTTCTTTGGATGTTGTTCTGGGGTCTTTTGTGACCTCTTGGATGAGTCGTCGCTGCGCTCTTGGGGTAATTTTGGTCGGCCGGCCACTCCTGGGAAGGTTCACCACTGTTCCATGTTTTCGCCATTCGTGGATAATGGCTCTCACTGTGGTTCGCTGGAGTCCCAAAGCTTTAGAAATGGCTTTGTAACCTTTTCCAGACTGATAGATCTCAATTACTTTGTTTCTCATTTGTTCCTGAATTTCTTTGGATCGCAGCATGATGTCTAGCTTTTGAGGATCTTTTGGTCTACCTCACTTTGTCAGGCAGGTCCTATTTAAGTGATTTCTTGATTGAGAACAGGTGTGGCAGTAATCAGGCCTGGGTGTGGCTAGAGAAATTGAACTCAGCTTTCCAAAGATGTGATAAACCACAGTTAATTTATGTTTTAACAGGGGGGGCAATCACTTTTTCACACAGGGCCATGTAGGTTTGGATTTTTTTTCCCCCCTTAATAATAAAAACCTTCATTTAAAAACTGCATTTTGTGTTTACTTGTGTTATCTTTGTCTAATATTTAAATTTGTTTGATGATCTGAAACATTTAAGTGTGACAAAAATGCAAAAAAATAAGAAATCAGGAAGGGGGCAAACACTTTTTCACACAACTGTATATCTATATTAAAATATCAGGTTACATTAGACTTTGCAGCTCAATCTAATAGTCAGGTGGCAGTAAGGAGAGAGGGGGGTGTACTGTACGTGTGTATTTCTATACCTTTTTGTTAACAAGAGACTGAAATTTAACAATTATTTATAACCCTTTGTGTAAAACAAGGACATGAATGATATGTCAACTTTCACAAGTTAAAAATAATATGTGATACAATCAATTATGACGGGTGCAGCAAGTGTAGGAAATAAATTAGGAAAATATTCAAAACATTAAACCAACTAAAAGTAGTAAAATAAAAATCTATATCTATATTCATTCAAATAAAAAGGATGCAACTGCTTCAAGGTTTTAAGGAACAGCCTCACATTTTGGGTAATAATTATTCTCTTTCTAGCCGAGAAAAGAAGGAACTATGGTTGAAAGAAAGTAGTTCCTACATGAAACTGCTCAGAAGGTCTGTGGATTATCTTGATCATGAGTTATGGAAAAATGCATTGCTGGTGAGTATTTCAAATGAAAATGGCGCATAGAGTCGCATTATAGTGGACAGAAGGCAGACATCTCTACGGCGGATATCTTCAAAACTAGGCAACTCACATCAAAACAATCCACATTGATAAATAGCACTGAAGTAAGAGGAAAAATATGTGCTTTTGATTTTGGGTTTAACTGTCCCTTTAAACAGGGAAGCTATGTTTGTCCACAGAAAATCAAGAAATAAATCTTATTTTTATGCTTTTTTTCCTGAATGATGTTAAATGTGCATGCAAAAACTATCTAATGCAAAAATGATTGGGTTTAAATGGAAAGCATACCTGTGAATCAGAGTGTGCTTCATACTGCGCTGCTGAGCCAGAGCTCTGGTCGAAGGTGTACATGAGTCTCAGGTCCTCCTCATGAAGCTCATGGCCGTCCACCTCGATGGATCCTTAACATGAACCACAACAACATGGAAACGTTCAGAACTACAGTTATGGTACTGAACCTAAAAATATGGGGGGAAAAAATAACATCCATCGAGTCAGAGAACAGCAAATGAATTGTAAGTATACGTAGATTTGCTGTCCGTGCAGAACTCAACACCAGTGGAACCCTACTGTGTCTCAGCATCATCAGACCACATATCTGAACCACCATAAAGCATACAGCCAACACAAAACTCACCAGGGGCTGTGAGAAAATGAGTCAAACCATACTTAATATACATTCATCAAAACGATTTGCTACCACAAATATTAAGATGTTCCTCTTGGGTTGGGATATTCTCGGACAAAACAATGTGGTTGAGTCTACACAGACGATGATGAACAATGTTCTGGTGCGTTGTCAGTTGGATGTCGAGTGACACGAAATAAAGAACAATTTTTAACTGTTTGGAAGTAACAGTTTTGTTGAATCACTCACATCACTACGTAATAGTTAAACTAGATAATAATAATAACATAAAAACTCAACTAGACGTACAGATTTTCAGATGCTTTCTATAAATCTAAAATACCACCAGTCTAATTACAGAAAATGTATAATTTAAGAGAGGATGAAAATCCATTTATGCATTAGAAAATTATCTATATATTGATGCCCATTATGATCAAATCGATGCTGACAACAGACTTTAATGCAGATTGGATGATAAACAATTAGTTGCTGGGCTATTCTCCTAATTCAATTTCAATACAGTGCCAACTGATAGTGTGAAATGATTATTTAGTTCGGTGTTTGTCTCGTGGAACGGATTCTAGAAATGGTTTCAATTACACCTAATCATACTGAGTAAAGTGCTCTCTTAACCCGCATGCATGCCGGGGCTTTGTTTTGAATTGGCATGGGTCTAAACCAGTATTTGCTTGCTTTTTCAGATTCCTCACATTGTAGTCTTCCTGTCCAAATCCACACGAGATCTGAGCTTTTAAACAATACAGCAAACCCATTCTAGTCAGGTTTATATCTCCATTTTGCCAGTGGCAGCAATTACCCCCGTCTGTGTCCCGACTAAAAAGCGTGACAGGGTTCTCCTCTCCTCTTCACTTCTCCAAACCCAGAGGCTGGGTGAAACAGTCACTCCCTTTCTCTCTAATCATAGATTTCCATGGTTTGATTTCCTGTGTCCCTCCCTGCTTCTCCGCTCTTTTCCACCTTCTCTCTTAACCTCTTTGGGATGGGATCAAAAGCTGCAGGTAAGGAATATTGAGTCATACAACCAACGGTCATGAACGCACATCAGTTTCTCGCCAAATCGCTCCCCTTCTAGTCTAAAAAGGTTTTCTGAGTAACGGATTCTCAGCTAGAAATTGCTCAAGAGGTTAAAAGTGGACACCGAGTCTGAGTAGTTAGCTTTTTCATGTATAGATTATTTCAGAGTCAGTGGTGTACCTTCCACCAATTGTCAGCTAGCTGAAGCTTGATATTGTGTTGAACTATTCCTTTTAACAGCGACAGGTGAAACATTATACATTAGCACCGTAAAAGCAGGTTTTGTAATCTAAAACGTCCCATCTTGGCTTTAATATCAAGTCAGTGAAATGCTACTTGGTTCCGCTGCACACAGTCATCTGTGTGTTTCCACCATCCATCTCTTTCCTTCCATCGCCCAGCCTCCTTCTCTCCTTACAATTGGCTTCATTTCAAACATCCGAGTGATTGGAAATGTTAAGTTCCCACAGCCCAGCTGACCTCCACTGCTTCCTTCCCCAGAGATTCTGGGGGCTCTCCTCGTCTCTCTATAATTGGAGAGACAAGATACCTTGCAGAGCTTTGATCCGTACTCCGGCTCTGATTATAGTTTCAGAAGGGTAAGGGTTTGGCATTCGGAGGATAAACTGCCCGTCTGTCTGTACTCGGCTTCATTGCAAGGACTCACAGTTGAGCTTTTAGTGAAATATATATGATTTCAACACAATTTGCAGCAACGGTGCAGCTGTAAATGTGTGTAAAATCCTAAAACCAACCTGCTGTTCTTCACTCATTAATGATTGTGTAAACTAAATCACAGACTACTGATTTAGTTTTTGACATAAAGACCACAAGTACTAAAAACTAAATTCACACAGGCGTACATTGTGTAAATGCAAACAAAAGAACTTCATAATTTTAAAGATTTTCCTTTGAGTCTGATTTTTAAGTTCACAGATTTTGCGTCTTTTTTTGAAAACAGAGCAATACCTGTCTTCTGGAAGGCCTCGAGCTGTTCGCTGGTGAGCTCCTTGATAGAAGCCGTGATGGCTTTGAAGGCCCCCTTCAGTCTCTTGCCCAGCACCATGTGGTCCGGCTCGGCTCTCAGACGGATCCCGTACTTGTCCTTGTCTGTTGACAGTGTCAACTGTCGCACATTAAGCTCCTGGAAGATGAAAAGAAAAAAGACACAACCTATGTCTTAGAAAAGGTCTTGTCGCTGCCTTGATGCTTCCCAAGTATATGGATGAGTACCAGTTACTAGGGTTGTTACTGTTGATCAAAAAACAAACATGAAAATGAATACAAAAATTGAAACAAATAAAATAAAATACAATTTTAATGTGCACTGCAAAAATAACAAAAAAACCTCATTTCATTACATGTCGTTAAATCATTAAAGGCCAAAAACGTTCGCTAAATAAAATGAACAAAGCCCTCCTGGCAACAATGCAAATGTTAAGTGACCCAGTTGCATTTGTTCAGTTTAACCTTTGAACCTTTTAAACTCACGCACCCAACATCTGTCCAATCAATCCAAAAGCAATGTAAGACTTGAAATAAATTAGTTAGTTACAAAAATATTGTCTGCATTCATTAAACTGCCAATGCACATTAAAAGTGAACTAAAGCTAAACTTAATAGAAAACTTAACAAAAACACAACTCGAGAAAACAATTAAATACTTTAAATACCCCGGGCATGTACTGTAAAGAGCAAATCAATACTTGATTACTATCGAGTCATGCACTTACAGAGTAAGTCAGCCATGAAATCAACTGGTAAGTGAGTCCTCCTATACAGGCAGTACTTTCAGTACAGTACATTTTATTCCTAAATCTAAATGGAGATAGAAATCTGTGATCCGGTTATATCTGGTGTAGCAATAGAGATACTAAGTTTAGACATTCTGACACCCACCCTGGCCTGCCATGCACAGCTTCTTTCAGTCAATCATGCTGAAAAGCGGGACTTAGTTCGAGCATATCTGAGCACAGATAAGCTGCTGTAGTGCTGTAGTGGGCTGAGTGTGGGGTGGAAAATAGCAGCTGGAACTCCTGTTTTGAGCTGAGCTTGGTTTGTGAAAATAGGAATGAATCAACGCTAAAGGGCACAAAAAGCACCTCTCTTATCTTCAAGACATTTATGGCTTTGTTTGTGTGTGATGTTGTTGCATTACAATATATTCAGGCTGCCGTCAAATAAAACAGCAAAGTCATTGGATATTTCCACTGAACGTCTTCAGCTCGGCAACGCAAAGCTGATCAAAGCTACAGCCATCAACAGCCAATCCAATTGTGTGCCTACTTTCTTCCATAAGACTTCCGACTGTATCAAATAAAATAAGTAATTTCCACCACATAGCCCACTGGTTTCTGAAGAGCCGTTTTGAAGCTCAAAGTGAGTGGCTCTGGCCGTCTCCACCTTGACGACACAGCTTAACTCGAAAAGTGGGGTTGAGCTGAGCCAGCTAGCTGCTAGCTGTCTGCCCAGCTAGCAGCTAGCCACTGTCTGCCACTGAAATATGCCAGTGCTAGTATTAATGCCAATGGTATCCGCTACTCTATACATTGGAAAGGCCATTCTGAAGGGTCTTGAGTTAAGCTAGATGCTTTGTTACATCCTGTAGGAGTCAAATTAAAAACTGTAATTGCTCCAGACATGTGCTGTAAACAGAAAATGTAATTCACTCAGAGAGCAAGTCAGCCATGAAATCAACCAGTCAGCGAGCCAGTCGATAACAACAATAGGTGCCCAATCGCTGCACATTTAGGTAGTGATAAAATAAATTTAAATGAATCACAGAGAAGGACCAGTTAAATAGTAATAATTATAGAACAATAATGAAGGAATCTAAGTAAAAGCCGCAGTGAAAAGGTGAATCCCAACTTTCAAAAGCTCAGCTCAACTGAAATGACATCAATAGTAAGAGAGTCTGAAGGTTCTTCTCTGGGCTGCAGGACCTTAAAGTGCTCTCAGTTAGGATCAAATAAACCTTGTTTACTGGAGGGAAGCTAGACGCCGGCAAGGTTAAATGTTTTCCTCACCAGAAATCAAATAGAGTGAGAGGTAAGAAGTGGCTCCAACTAAGATTAAGCTTGAAGGTTCCAACAAAAGGTTGCACCAGCAGCCCTTCTACAGGTAATCCCCATCTCATATATGGAAACAAGAGCCACAATCAATTCTCCATCTAAGATGCATCAGTAAGAATGGAAAGACTTCAACATTTCCAGGTAAAGCATTGAACAGCTTGAAACATTCTTACTGAAGAGTAGTTATCTGAGTCAGCTGTGGAACAACATTGACTTATTGAGCTTTGTTGGTGCAAAAGCAAACCCAAAGACAAAGAGATAATGTCAGTTTAATGGCTTCCTGCACTAAATGACAATTAGTCTGTCTGAGTCTTTTGGGCAGCACCTGAATGGACCAGACACACTTGTAATCAATCTGCAATTTACAGTTCATAACAATACACTGATGATGTTATGTGAATGCTATAAAAAAATCAAAAAAAGACACTGACATTGGAAATGCATTGTTTTTTATATAGTTAAACATACAGGATGTCTTGACCTTACCTGGAAAGTCAAACTTGCAGGCTCTTTATGTAAAACAAGAGCTAGGAGAGCTGCGTGAACTATAACGATGCTTATTACTGTGACTATGAAGCACACAAACACATTAACAGTAATTCAATGTTTCCATGTGATGGAGGAAAAAAAAGTCTATAGTTGATGAAGGGTTTTGCATGTGTGGCAATTGGAGTAGATCAAATGTAAAACCATTTTCCAAGGCATCTGCTCCACCCCCTTTTTTTAGATGAACCAACCGCAGACATTTAAATTACAGCTGAAGATACAGACTGCGTGCGAGCATGTGCTCCCTCCCCCCCTCTATCAAATCAACACACTGGCAGGGTCTGGGAGAGCTAACTCTGTCACTTAAACATCTAATGGTACTGATCAAAGCAAAAGTAAAACTTATAGGAAAGATGAGCAGAAGATGCACCTCTTTCCTTAAAGCAGAGAACTGGTAAAGTAATAAGACGACTTCATTACGGCACAAATCAACACACAATCACAGCGTGTTCTACTTACTTCCAGGATGTATTTCTGCAGGGACTGAATGTCTTTCAGAGCTTCTGCGTCTTGGTGAATAACTACCACCTCCTTTAATGGGTACTGAAATACACACCAACATTACAGTGGGTCACATGTTCCAGCACAAAAAAACACAGAAATGGGGTTGTCATATTTAACACAACATAACTTAATATGATGAAGCCATATCTATGGGAGAGCTATAGCAAGTTAGGGATCCCGTAAAGAACTGTAAACAAGTAATATAATTGATATTTTACAGTTAACAAAACATAAACATGTCTTTGGCATTTCTGTGCTGCAATTTCTTGTTACTCGGCCGACATCGCTACCGATATCAGCAGATATATCGTACGTTTCCCAGAGTCTTAATTCACTGTGCCTCTTATACTGGAGTGTATGAACAGAATAGTAAAGTTGATGATTCACCTTAACGGGCAGAGTCTTCCTGTCTCGGATCACTCGGCCCAGCTCAATCACAGACTGCATCTGACAGACGGCGCTCTCGATGCGCTGGTCAATCACACTCTCCCTGAAATACAGAAACACAAATAAAGAAAATCTAAGCATCACCACCTCATACGTAGCGTTGCAATGCCATGGCACGAGCGTCTGAATAACCTCTGAACTCTGCAGTTTTGGTTGTACGGGAGAGGAAGTTAACCTGGTGAGACTTTTGCAATTGCAACGGGTGCCACCTGACCGAGCGGCCTCCTTATAATAAGTGGATGTGGGAAGATGAGAAGAACATCTTTTAAAACTACACACCTTCTGATGTACCATTTCAAGTCACAGTGAGGGGACGTAGGTGCGTTTCTGCCAAAAAACCTACAGGCAACGGTCGTCATATTCTGGTTAATCAGTGGTTTAGAAATTTGAAATTACTATTATATTGAGGAAAATGAATAACAGAGCACGACAAGGTTAGTACCATATATCTTAACAAAGACAGAGTTCAGAACCACCAGCGCCAGAGTTTGACTCGGGAACATCCACTAATAAGGTACACTGCGACTTCCACCGCTGTATTCAAATTAGAGCTGCACAGCCAGATCATCACGCATAATAGCGATATTAGCCCTAACTGTCTGGAGGAGCACACACTCGTGCGTGCGTGTGTGTGTGTGTGTGTGCACAATGCTTGTTCATTTATTCCAACAGTCTTCTTCTCCATGTGTGCACACACACACAACAGTGGCGTAAAATGAGAGAGGAGAGCACTCCAAGGACAGCCAATCATTTAATGAGCTGATTGAGGAGCAGCTCTTCCCACCGCCTGATTGGTGGCTGACCTTTGGGAGGGGGGGTGAAGTGGTCCCATTCGACAGCAGGACGGACAAGCGGCTAACAAAGCCGCGGCACTGAGTGCTGCCAAAGTGACAGGAGAGATTATATGAACCATTACACAAACTATTTTCCTTACGCTAAATCAAGTGGATATTTAATCATGTCAGAACTTTTTCGTTGTTGAAGATGATGCAATTAAGTTTGGGCAATTAGACATTCCTCCCGGGCTTTACAAAACTGATCAGCCACCGAGGCAAGAGTGAAGGGAATGAAATGGTCATATTTTGTGAGCAATATCCAGCCACGAGGCTGACAGTCAAAGACAAGCCTTTTGTATTTCTGCTTCTCTAAATCTCTCATTGCTTTCTAAATAAGGCAGTTTGACTCTGAAAATACAAACGGGGTTGGGCTGCTTATCGAGACGATAGCAGTGAACCTGAGAGAAGCTGTGCACAAGGATTTCAATGTCTTTCTCTGTATCGGATGACCATGTTGTTGCTTATAACTAACTATGTAGCGCTGTGGAAAATGCATCTGTGATTAACTAATCACCCAGAAACAAAGCCTTGCATTTGACACATGAACTGAAAATCTGCTTAGAAATGACTCAAAAGCAAATCTTTATCTACAGCACTAATAATTCCCATGTATATATATTTGATCAGAGTATCAACTAACAACACAGAGGAAGAGGAAGCAGCGAACAGCAGGAATAAAGAGAATAAATGGTTAAGACCCAAAGAGAACAGCTGCTGTGAAGCCTGAAACTTCCTTTAGAAACTACTGTGGACTTTTGAGCTTCAAAGGCGTCCACTTCGAGGAGTTCAGAGTGTGATGCGATCGGGGTAAAGCAAGGCCACGCACTCTAGGTGAGACTGATTAAGCTCTGCACTAACAGTGGATATCCTCTGAGGAAAGGACGTTCTCCTTTTTGAAACATTTGATCTGCATTGTGTGGATGAAAGGTACGATATAAAGTCTATTTTCATTCCTGTCATTTATAGGACTGTGACGTGCTGCTCTAAATATTTACTGCAAAGCGAATATACGATGATGATTCACTTTGTGATCTCACCTTGTGAGCGAATCAGACAGATCCTGATGCATTGCATTCCATGATCGATCTAGTTTCTAGAATAAATATGTAGTTTCTTTTTGTATGATTTTCCCTAAAACTTTATATATTTCATAACAGTGCAATAGATCCCTCTTACGTCGGCTGTATTTCAGCCCTCCACAATGACACTGTGGGTAAACTCCATATAAAGAGTATGTACATTCTCAACTTCTACCTGGTTTCTCCAAGTACAATATTCAAAAGATGTGGGGAGCGACCAGGGGAAAACAGGTGACACGTTGACAATCACAATCGCAAGAGACACTTTTAGCTCTTGGATAGCGACAACTCTCGGGGCTCTTTTGCCATTTTTCCTCTTTAATTTAAGCTTTAAATGAATCGGTCAACGTCCGTAAAAATTTGACCTTTATTGAAGGCTTTTTCCAACCTGACTTGGGGCAGCATGAGATAGTGGATGCTGCCGCTGTCCTTCTCTTCGACAGAGGCGGGATCGATGAGGTGACGCAGATTTTGGTACATCATCTCTGTAATGAAGGGTGTGAAAGGAGCCTGAGGAGAAGGAAGGGGAAAAAAGGAAGAGAACATTATTAGATGCTCTGTACTGTAGTTAATTTACATTTTCTGACAATAAGGTCTAAAAGTCAGAAGCATCTGCATAATCAGCATAAAAAACAGATTTTTACGGTAGTTTTTTTTCCCCTCAGTGGTGATAAAGTTCAAACAGAATGGTGCCAGAGTGAGGTTACTTCTAGTGTAACTTTCTTTCAACCATGCTTAATTCATTTCTGAAGCTCAGATCTGTATTGATGTGGGTTAGGCTAACTGGTGCTTAGCGTGCATCTCGCCTCACATGCAAACATCTTCAATGTGTTATAAATAAAAACTCCTACTGCTCATGCATAATTCATAGCCATGCCAGCACATACACCTCGTCCATACCAGCGTTATTTCTTCGTGTCTTGCACACACAAAAGCAAAACCTCACCACGAGAAATTTCCCCAATACAGTCTCTTTTTTCTCACACACACACACACACACACACACACACACACACACACACACACAC